ATATATATATATATATATATGTATGTATGTATGTATGTATGTATATATATACGTTAACACACGTTAACGCATTAACGCGTTAATAATGCTTAAATGCAGCCAATGCTTAACGGCAATAATTATTTTAACACGCGTTAACGCAGTTAGATTAGTTTCTCACAGACCAACACACATACACACACGCACACAAACAGTTTCTCACGGGGAGCAGGATCTTGATCACTATTGGCTGTTGAAAGCCATCGTAACACGTCTCAACCAATGAGAGCCTTTGTTGTTGATACGTGGCCTATTAGCGCTGCGCACGCGTGAAGCAAGAAAATTAGCAGCATGGACAGAAACTCGAAGACAGGTACTGGAATTTTAAAAAGTGTGCCCTACTGGCTGCTTCATCAGAGTCTGACTCTGAAGAAGATGAAAACTCATTTGAGAACACTTTGTCTCGCTACAAAACGGAACCCACTATCAGTACAGATGCCTGTCCCTTAGAGTGGTGGTCCAAACACACAGGAGCATACATGGGACTGGCCTTTATTGCACAGAAGTACTTGGCCACACCTGCAACGTCTGTCCCTTGTGAAAGGTTATTTTCTCTTGCCRGTCATGTTGTACAGAAAAAGAGAGTTTCTTTGTCATCTGAAAATGTTAATGAACTTGTTTGTCTCAGCAACTGGCTTGGTGCAGAGGAGTGAGAAAGGTATAGTTGGATGATTGATTTTTTTTCCTTTTGACTGAAGTTTCCTTAAAGGAAATCCAGAGAAATCAGGCGCTATAAAGAGTAAAATCTCTTCTGCACAGTTAATTCTGTTTTATTATTATTGTGTTTGCACTTGAACTTTTTCAAAAGGTACACTTTATGTTACACTATTATATTAATTGTGTTTGCACTTGACCTTTTTCCAAAAAGTACACTTTGTTAAATGTGAATTGTTTTTTATTATTATGCTCCCTGATTTAAAAAAATGTTTCTGCTTGTAATATTTCAGAAATAAATGTATGAATAGT